TGTATAACAAAGTTAACAAAATCTGTAATCACTTGTCAACTAAACAGATCAACCTTTAGATACTCCATGACTGAAATAGGAAATCTTCTTCAATATGTAATTTGTAAATACTTTCTTCCATTCTGTGGGTTGTGTTTTCATTTTCTTGATGCTGACTGATTTTGACAAAAATGTAAAACAATTCCATGATTTCTACTGCATACCTTATAAAAAGAATTTAAAATAGATCAGTAATCTAAATTTAAGAGCTAAACTCTTAGAAGAAAACATAAGGGTATTTATGACCTCAGGTTTTACAGTTGAGTCTTAGATATGACACCAAAAGCACAAGCAGCACAAGGAAAAAACCAAACTTCTTCAAAATAAAAAACTATTAATTAAAATACATTGTTAGGTCAACAGATGGCATAGTGGTTAAGGTGCTGGACTCCCACATGACTATCCACGATTCAAGTCCTGGACTGGGCGGCTTGAAACTAATGCTGGGCACATGTGTGTCCATGTCCAAAATTCCAAGAGAAGAACAAAGGAGAAGGGATTGCAGTGTGGCCACCACCCCCCTCCTGGGGGAGGGGTGGTGATTTCTTACTTTTTATGTCTCTGTCTCTTTCTGCATCTCTGGCAAGTACGTGTGCCCTCTAGGAAAAAATCTCTCTTAAAAAAAAAAAAAGAAATCAAGACAGTGGAAAGTCAGCTTTTACAATGGGAAAAAAAAAGTACACACACACACACACATATTTAAGGTTTTTGTGATAGGGCGCATGCCAGAGAGAAAATGAGAAATCATCCTGTAGGGGAGATGGCTATACTGTAGTCCCTTCTTCTCCTCTCTTGGGATTTTAGGCATGCATGCGCACATTCCCAGCATGATTTTCAAGCCACCTTGTCCAAGGCTTGCACCACGGTTGGCTATGTGGCAGTCCAACACCTTAACCACCATGCCATCTGCTGTCCCCAATAGGAGAAAATATTTACAAGTCATATATCTGATAGGGGTTTAATATTCAGATTATATAAAGAATTCCTTCAACTTAACAGAAAGAAAACCCCATTAAAAATGGTCAAAGGACATGAATAGATTTTTTTTCTCAAAAGAGGACACAAATGTGGTTAATGAACATTTGAAAAGATGTTCAACATCACTACTCATCAGAGAGATGCAACTCAAAACCACAGTGAGATACTGTATCACATCTACTAGTATGGGTATAATCAAGAATTGTAAAAATATGATGCTCTACAAGACTGACTTGCATAGCAGGGCCCAGGTTTGTGTCCAGAGATTTCCCTGAGGGTGCTGGACACTCGAGTTCATATGATCTGAGCTGGCTGAAGCTAGAGGTGGTGGAGTATGGCATCAAGGTGGATTGTTGGTGCTGTCTCTCTTACTCATGGAAAGGATTTTTAAAATTTTTTATTTCTTTAGCTGGGAGAGGATGTGCATGCTTGCCAGAGAGAGAAAGAGAGAGAGAGAGACAGACCTCTCATAGGATATGGTCATGCTGCAATCCCTTCTCATTCATTTTTCCATCCTGTCAGGATTTGGGGCACACATAGCAGGTGTAACTTTTGAATTGTGATTGGCCTTGTGGGTTCTGGCTCCCTAAATCACCAGGCTACAGAATCAGTCCCATGGAAGTAATTTTTTAAAAAAATGGAAAATAACAAGCGTGGGTAAGTATGTAGAGACATTGGAAACATTGTGTATTTCTGATAGTAATGTAAAATAGCCCCACTACTGTGGGAAATGTTTGGTATTTCCTGAAAAGCTTAACAGAATTACCATATGAATTAGCAATTCCATTCTTAGGTATATACCCAAAAGAATTGGGAATGGGAATTGAAACAGATACCTGTATGCCATTGTTGCAGCAATATTCAAAACGTGGCAACAACCCAAGTGTCTGTCATCACATGAATGGATAAACAAAATGTGCTATATACATAGAGTGGAATATTATTCAGCCATAAGTATGAATGAAGTCTGTTACAACATAAATGTTACAACATGGATGAACTTTGAAAGCATTATGGTAAGTGAAACAAGCCAGACACAAAATGATAAATATTGTATAATTCCACTTATACAAAATACCTAGGATAGGCAAATCATAGAAAGCATATTCAAAATGACTTGGTATGAGGTGTAAGAACAGAGAGTTATTACTTAATTGGTAGAGAGTTTGGATTTGGAGGGATGAAAAAGTTTTGAAAAGTAGAAAGTGGTGTTGATCAGGCTGGCAGGTGGTGTGGTGGTTAAGGTGCTGGACTCCCACATGGCACACTGCAGTTCGAGTTCCAGGCCTGGAAGCACATGCACTCGCTCTCTCTCTCTCTCTCTCTCTCTCTCTCTCTCTCTGTGGTGAGTGCATGTGCCCTACAGCAAATTAAATATAATAATAAATCTTTTTTTAAGTGGTAATGATTTCATTACACATGTTGGAATATTCACTTTGCAAGCTAAATAATGCGATTGAATGTATAAAAGAACTTGAAAAAAAAAGAACAAAAAAAGAAAAAATTGTGTGTTGTAATTAATGCCACCAAGTTGTGTGCTTAAGAAAGGCTTTGAAGTGGTAAACTTTGTTATGTATATTTTACCAAGATAAAAGTAAGTAAATAAAACAATGTAGTAAGGAAGCTTTTTCAACAAATAGTCCTAGAATGATTGGACAGGTAGAGGGAAGAAAGTCCTTGTCTTAAACCTCATGGTTTATAAAAAGAATAAACAAACAAACAAACAAAACTCAAAAATGATCATAGATTCAAATGTCAAGTGTAAAATCATAAAACTTTTGGAAAACAAAACATAGAGAAAATAATTCAGTTAGTAACTAGGACAAGACAAAGTGTTCTTAACCAAAAGCACTACCCATGAAAAGAAAAAGTAATTCATCAAAATGAAAACTTGTTCATGAAAGACTTTTTGAAGAAAATTGAAAAAACAAACAAACAAAAAATGAATGTCAGACTGGGAAACGATATTTTAAAATCACATATCTGACAAAGAATTTTTATCTAGAAGAAAATGAGCATTTAAATTGGGTGAGAATTGAACCTGAGTCTCCCGTGTGGTCTCAGCCTACAGGGCACAGCAGTTTAGCAGAGTGTGCCACTGTGGCTAGTCCAGGAGGCTTAGTGGTGTTTCTTTCTTTCTTTCTTTCTTTCTTTCTTTCTTTTCTTTTCTTTTCTTTTCTTTTCTTTTCTTTTCTTTTCTTTCTTTTCTCTTTCTTTCTTTCTTTCTTTCTTTCTTTCTTTTTTTTTTTTTCTTTTCTTTCTTTTCTTTCTTTTCTTTCTTTTCTTTCTTTTCTTTCTTTTCTTTCTTTGTTTTTTTTTGCCATAGGGCACATGTGCTTGCCAGAGAGGAGAGAGACAGAGAGATGCAGATAGAGGGAACTGAGAAATCACCCCCTGGGGGGATGGCTACACCACAGTCCCTTCTTCATATTCCTCTCGGGATCTTAGGCATGCATGGCCTTGGGACTTGAACTGCGGTTGACCAGGTGGGAATCTAGCTGCCTTAACTACCACCCTACCTGCTGGCCCATAGGCGGCTTATTTTTAAGCTCTCTGATGGAGACTCTAAAGTGGCTCTAAAGTAATTCTGGTTCTAAATTATTCCCATTTCTATTATCTTCTGGAGTCTCTAAAGTTCCTTTTTTTTTTTAATTTTAGATTTTTGCCATAAGCTGTATACATTCACAAAGAGACAGCATGAAAGTGAGAAATCAGCCACAGTGGGGATGGCCATGCCACAATCCCTTCTTGTCTATTCTCCTCTCAGGATTTTGGGCACACATGTACACGTGCCTGGTGTGACTTTAAAGGCACCCAGTCTGGGACTTGAACTGTGGAGTCTGTCATATGGGATCCACCTACTCCGACCTCCACACCACCTGCTGTCTCTAAAGATGTTATGCCCGTGTGGGATCCAGCTATTCCAACCTCGTCACCACCTCCTGTCCCTAAAGATGTTATGCCCATGTAATCATTGAGGATTTCCCACTGTCACTGGGTGGAACTTGAATGATTTGCACACTACGTGAGCTCTGCAATTTGTTTGCTTTAGACCTTTCTGGTTAATTTTGTTTTTTAGAAGTTATGACAAAGTTCATAGAATTTCACTCTGTATACTCACAGATTGTTATTTAACCATACATTCAAAGGATCTCTGGATATTTCTCTGTAACAATTGTCTGGGTTCATGTATGGGACTCTAGCCTACAAATTCTAGCTCTTGGCTTCCTGTTACTCTTACCTTTTCTCATTTCAGCAAGATAAATAAATTTTCCTCTCCCTGCTTATTTCATTTGTTTCCCTTTTCTCAGAGATAATCCTGTTCTACCTACTGTCCAGCTACAGAAAACATTTATTTATTTGATTTTGTTCAGTTTTCTAGTTGTTTATGACAAGAGAGTAATGACCAACCCTTGGTCCATTGTAGACTTTATAGATGGTTTCTTCATAGGTATTTTAATACTAAGGAAGAGAAATTTTCATAAAAGCCAAGCTTCTCAAAAACAAGTAGCAGGCAGGAAAGGAACTTGTTTAATGACAGCATCTAACGTGGAAGTTCTAGGACCAGAGATATTCAGGGCAGGCACTCATATGGGAGAAGGGCAAAATGCAAAAAGATTTTATGGATACGTGCTTAGGATGGACATAGGGATTTCAGAGCCTTGCCTCATCACCACCCCTGTTCACATTACTCTTGGGCTCTTACCGTACCTGCCACTTTCCTCATGCCAGAAAGCCCCTGAATAGGGAGGCTGCTCTTAACTAGCACTAATACGATTATGCATCATTAAAGCTTGTTTCCTAGGGCAGGAAAATATTGACATCAAAGTGTACATGACTGACACTTAGTCTTTGCTGAGATTCGAGAGGGACTAAGGAGCTCTTGTAAGACTCATGACCTTGGACTTTTGGGGAATTCTGTCTGCCAGGATGGCTTAGTTCTGCCTGTCTATCCCATCCCTCTTTTCCATCTCTGCCTGCAGTTATGACGGTGTGCCTTTCCTCATGCATGACTATGATGTGAGAAGAACAACGAATATTAGGGAGGTCCTGCCGAAGGCTGCGTTCAATCACAGTTCCTCCTTCAAATGGAATTTCCTGGCAACTCTGAATGCAGGCGAATGGTTTGTACAACCATGGGTAAGATACATTCCCAGTTTCACAAATCTACGTCAAATCCCTCTTCGGTGCAACTTTTTTTTTTTTTGATAAAGAAATGCAAGTCACACAGAATTCCATCCTACTTTGGTAGAACTATTACATTGGCAGAAGTGCTTTTCTGGTAATTCATTGACTAATTAATTGCTGCTTTCTACATTCACCAAAAAGTCTAAGACAGCCCTGTAAGCTTAGTCTTTTTTTATTGTATTCCTTTTTACAAAGAATTTAATAAATTTTCACAGTGTACTTTCTATGTATATTACATTTTCCTGCGCTTTTTGTGTAGCTCACAGTCTTATAGATAAGGCATGCTAGGAAACATTTACACTTGATTCCTTCTTGCCATTGGCACATATTTATTTAATACCTACTATATACTAGCACATGGGATATAATGGTTAATAGGTACACGTTCAGCTCTAATGGGCTTCACAGGCTAGTGTTAGAAATAGACAATTAAAATACATTGTGATAGTGCTAAGCTAAATTCAGGTTGCTTTAGCATGAATAGCTTCTAACTCAGCTAAGGCTATGGGGTAATTCTCTATTCTGAAAGGATAGAGAAATGGAGGAAAAGGGACTGCAGCATGACCACACCGCATGTCCATAGCCCATCCCTCTCCCTCTGTCTGTCTCTTTCTGGTAAGTGCACATTACCTCTGGCAATTAAAAACAAAAACATTTTTAAGCTTATAAAATGGCTAGAAGAAATACCCGTGACCAAGATTCTTCCCAATCAGCTATGTTCCCTTGGCTTTGATTTTGAAAATAAACATCTCGATAGTCTGGATGATAGGCATCCATATTGCTGACACATGTTGCAGAAGAGACAGCATCGTATGGGGATCAGCTGTGGTAATTGTGCCTCATCAGGTAATAGTGTAATTAAAAAGAATTAAGGGAGGACCAATAGATGGCATGGTGGTTAATGCATTGGATGCCCACATGGCCGACCATGTTTTGAGTCCTGGACCTGGTGGCTTGAGAATCACACTGGGCCTATGTGTGCATGCATGACAAAAATCTCAGAAGGAGACTGGAAGAGGGGGGATTGCTCAGTGGCCATCTCCCATGGGGGGTGATTTCTTAGTTTTCCTCTCACTGTCTCTTTCTCTCTATCTCAGGCTAACATGCACTATGGCAAAAACCTAAAGAAAAAAGAAAAACTAGATTTTTTTGATTGTGTATTTTTTTATGTAATAGAATTTTATTTATGTTTCGTGTTACTATTTGTTTGATGTTAATTTTTTTTTGAGAGTTTTTTGCTGTATGGTGTGTACACTCACCAGAAAGTCAGAAAGAGACAGAGAGACGGAAAGCAAGAAATCGCCCCCCAGTGGGGATGGCCATGCTGCATGCAATCCCTCCCCATTCTCGTCTTGGGATCTTAGGCATGCATGCACACGTGCCCGGCGTGAGTTTAAGCCACTGGGTCTGGAACTCAAACCATGGTCGACTCATGGGAGTTCAGTGACATAGCCATTATGCCAACTGCTGGTCCCTGTTTGATGTTACTCTTGAAGACTGCTCATGTTTTGCATCTATTGATAGGCAGTGAATAGTGAAAAATGAGTTATGTAAGAGTGGACTTATCTGCTGAGACTCCACTTCAGATTCATTCTGTTAACTAGTGTTAATATAAGAAAAAGCCAAAAGTGGATTTGTAATTTTTTAGCACCTCAGACCATTTGTCTTCATAGGAGTGTATAACCTATAAATGCAGTTTCCTTAAGTGAAAATAGTGGGATGACTGTGGTATTCCAGATTTCTGTGTGTATACATAGGATCTATAATTTGTCTCATCATAAATATATAGGCACATAAAAACTAGAGATGCTTCGTGAGACCCAGGTTCAGTCCCAGGCCAGCCTGAACATGCTGGGCATAGCTGTATGTACCTGTAGTCCTAGCTAATTGAGAGGTTAGACCAGAATGATTGTGACATGTAGGAGGCTGCGCACCGGCAAGTCTTCTGAGGTTTCTCAGAGAGCAAACAATTACCATGATTGGTTCCCTTCAAAAAAAAAACCTGACCTTCGAAACTTTGCTCTGATTGGCCACTAGAATCCCTCAAATTTGCATATCTGGCACCTCATGATTGGTCCAAAAGCAACCAATCACGGCCCACCGTTTACAACCAATCACGGCCCACCGTTTACAACCAATCACGGCCCACCGTTTACAACCAATCACGGCCCACCGTTTACAACCAATCACGGCCCACCGTTTACAACCAATCACGGCCCACCGTTTACAACCAATCACAGCCCACCAGTGTGTATATACCCACGATGCCTGGCCCACAGTAGCCAGACGACAACGACCAGGAAGATGATGACAACGACAACAACCAGGAAAACGACGAATGAAGAGCCTGAAGAGTTGAAACACCGTGCAGTCTCCAGACGACCCTGAAGATCCTGAAGAGCTGACACTACATCGTCTCCAGACGACCTGGGAGACTCGTCTGTGTGCTGTAACACTACGCCACTTGTCCCGGCTCTCACTCCTTCACTCAGGAAACCTGTTTGGCTGTCACCCCCGGGTCGGGACATCTGGTGCCCGAATAGGGACCTGAGTACAAGGATCCAGTGAAGAGCATCCGAGGAGGGGGCGGC